AAAAACAAGAAAAGACAACTGAGTCTCTTATCCCAGGATCCCTAAATCTCAGTTCATGTGTGGTAACTCCTTCAGCCCTCAACACATTCATTATAATCATTATATTCCTACTAGAAATGAGGAAACTGAGGACCAGGCAGGTGAATTTAAATGCAGGAAATGCAATAGATGAACCTAGGCTGCCATGATTACTCATCTGGTCACTTTCTACTGATAAGACCCTGGCAGGAATGTCTGTGTGAACAGGAGTCCCCATTGTTGCCAGAGACCAGGACAGGGTCTGGGACTTGTGGCCTCTCTGTCAGACAGACTTGAGTGGATCCTTGGAGGTGGGTCTTACCCCACAGCCATCGAAACATACCATTTGGTATTCAGCTGCTGACCACAGCCTGGGGTTTCCTGGGTCCTGACAGAGTGTCTATCTGAATTCTGGCCTTGAAGACTATCCAGGGGTAGAGGATTAATCTCCTGTACAAAAGAAGAATAAGGCAAACTGTGGTGAGACCTGGGGACTCCTGAGCCCATGGACAAGGAAGGATGTAGCCATGAGGGCTAGAGCTGAGAGCGAAGCACCCAGCTGATATGAAGTGAGAAGCGATGTACAAGAACACTCAGACTTGCAGACAGTACCCATTTGACCTAGCTTTGATGGCTTGATGATCAGAACTTGACTACAGGAAGATGAAAAAACAACAATTTTTGATAAAGGAAACAAGTGTAAATTGTTATAATTTGATGAACTTGACCTATACTTATGTAGTACTAGCTCAAAATACCAACTGAGAGAGGAGTCTTCACATCAAGGATCAATACTATCCTCTCTGTATACAGGGTTGATAGGGATGGGCAACTTAGACATTTGCTACCTAAAATGGGGTGGGAGAGGGCTATAAAGGCACCAAGTGACTGGCTTACATGTTTTCAAGAGGGAGTTTAGTTTCAGGGTGTGTGGGGGAAGGTAGAGTCACCATTGAATAGTTTTCATCTTGTCTAGTGGGTCCAGTGAAAGAACATGGGGATAAGATTCTTATGATTCAGTAGTGAGTAATTGTTATCGTGACTAATGGCAACTGTCACACCATAAAGGTAGAAGTTTTCTAACAAAAAACGGGGAGTTGTTAATCTTAAAGTCCAGGAACAGGGACTCTAGGACCATCAAGAGAGCAGAGCTTGACCTATCCAGAGCAGCAACAACACTCCTGTCTTTAAGGGCTCTAGAATATCTGAGGTAGAGGATTTATTTCCTGTACGAAAGCAGAGTAAGGAAGAGGAATGAGTATCTTTCAAGGAGACAATGGTATGACATTTATAAAGCTGAAAGAAAAATTGTTCAACCAAGAATCATATATCCAGCAGAACTGTCCATCAAATACAACGGCAAAATAAGGACATTTCCAGATAAAAAGAAATTAAAAGAATTTGTAAAAACCAGACCAATCTTACAAAAAATAATAGAGAAAATAATAGACAAAGAACCAAGGTCAGCAGACAACAACCTGAAATTGGCATACATGAAAATATCACCCAGAGCTCAACCCAGATGCACAGGTATTCGAAGTAAAACCTATTGCTGTTGTTAAGTGCCGTCGAGTTGGTTCCCACTCATAGTGATCCTGATAGAGTTTCCAAGGAACAGCTGGTGGATTTGAACCACTGACATTGTGGTTAGCAGTCCAATACTTATCCCACAGCTCCACAGACAAAAGGACAAATATTTTCATGTGTCAAATCAAAACAAGCACACAATTTTGACTTACAGTGACCCTATGGACAAAGTAGAAGTGCTTCCATAGGGTATTGGGTTTCCAAGACTGTAAATCTTTATGGAAGCAGAATGCCTTATCTTTCTTTCATAGAGCAGCTGGTGGATTTGAACTGTTGGCCTCTGAGGTAGCAGGCCCACGCTTTAACCACAGTGCCACCAGGGCACCTCATATTGTATGTAGGATCCCACTTACAAGATAAAACAGTTTCACAGAGACAGAAAGTAGAACAGAGGTTACTGGGGGCTGGGAGAGACTGATCCATGGTTGTCAAGCCAAGCTGAACCGACCCATGGGGCCTACAGGCAGAGTAGAACTAACTTGTAGGGCTTCTAAGGCTGTACATCTTTATGGAAGCAGAAGGTCTCATCTTTCTCCCACGAAGTAGCTGGTAGGTTTGAACCACAGACATTTTAGGTAGCAGCCGAGCCCTTAGCCACCGCACCACCAGGGATCCTGAGGAGAGAGTTAAAAAATCTCAGTCATCAAGTCTAGTGTGGCTTATAGTGAGTCTTCATAGGGTTTCTGAGACTATAAATCTTTATGTGAGTTTCTGAGCAGCTGGTGGGTTTGTAACCGTTGACCCTGTAACTAGCAGCCCAATGCTTAACCCACTGCACCGCCTAGGGCTTCTCCGAAGAGGGTAAATCAAGCTAAACCCACTGCCATCCAGTGGACTCTGGTTCATAGTGACCCTGTAGGACACAGTAGAACATCTTGAGGCTGTATGTCTTTATGGGAGCAGCCGGCAGACTTCTGAACTGCAGCCCAATGCTTAACCCACTGCACCACCAGTGCTCCTGGGAGAAGGTTGTTGTTGTTAGGTGCCATAGAGTTGGCTCTGACTCATAACGATCCTGTATAGGATTTCTAAAGCTGTAAATCTTTACGGGAGCAGAAAGTCTCATCTTTCTCCTTTGGAGAGGCTGATGGGTTTGAGCTACTGACTATGTGATTAACAGTCCAGTGCTTATTCTACAGAGCAACCAGGATAGCTGTTGTTCAGTGCTATCGAGTCGATTCCGACCCACAGTGACCCTGCACAGGGTTTCCAAGGAGTAGCTGGTGAGCTTGAACTGCCGACCTTGCAATTCAAACGGCTTTACAGTCTGGCACATTAACCCACAGTGTCACACCAGGACTCCAACAGGATAGTGGGGAGTTATTTAATAGATACAGTTTTTGTTTGTGATGATACAAAAGATCTGGAAATAAATAATCGCGATGGTTATAAACATTGTGAATTCACTTAATACCCTTGAATTGTATACTGCAAAATGATTAAAAGGGTCAATTTTGTGTAATGTATATTTTACCACAATAAAAACCAAGTAAAGCCACAAAAAAGAGGAAACTAAGGCTCAGAGAGGTTGAGTAAACCCCAAATCTGTGTGACTCATTTTTGTTGTTGAATGTCATTCAGTCAATTTTAAAATCATAGTGACTCCAGGTGACTAAGTAAAACTGCCTCCTAGGATTTTCTAGGATGTAATTTTTATGGGAGCAGACCACAGGTCTCCCACGGAACTGCTGGGTGGGTCCGAACCATTCACCTTTCAGTTAGCCTCGGAGTACTTACCCATTTACCACCAGAGCTACTTGGGTGACCCATCGTAGTTATTGTTATGTGCCATCAAATTGGTTCCAATTCATAGTGACTCTGTATAGAGTTTCCAAGGAGCAGCTGGTGGGTTTGAACGGCCAACCTTGAAGTTAGCAGTCCAGTGCTTATCCTACAGCACTATACCAGGACCCAGGGTAACTCATTAGAAGACCTCAAAAGAAGCAACTTGTGATTTCCCTGGCTCTCAAGGGGGTGGGCTTTGTGGGAGGGGATGTTATGGCTATGACCTGATTAGGGAAAAGGGTATTGTTAACTTCTGCCCCTGCCTGTTGAAAATTCCCAAAAGGGACAACCTGGAGACAGGAGCAGCCGCACCAAAACCAGCGTAAAGTACTTGACTCATCCAGAGATGGAGGCTGAGGCCAGCAGCCAGCTCAGTGACCTCTGTTTGTGGCTGGAGAGCTTGTGGGCCGCTGTGGGCACACTGGCATTCTAGGGCCTTCTTGGCATGTGGGGAATGTTCCAGGAAGACGCTCAGAAAAGGGACGTGTTCCTAGTCCTGGGATGGGGTGGGGGAAGAGGAGGAAATCTGTAGAGACTATCCCCTTGGAGGGAGGAGTAGAGGTCTTGGGGACTGGGTCTCCCTATGAGCTCATGGTCCTATATAAGTTAGGGCTTTAGGGGTAGGTTCCTACAGACACTGAGCCTGGAGACTTGGGGGTTTACCTTTCATGGCTGGGTCCCCCAGAGCTGTCAGACGGGCTCTGATCCAGGACCCTAAATAACAGCAATGCTTACCCATCATTTGCCCTAGTAGGCCAGATCTCTGGCTTATGTGTCACCAGAAGTCAGTGACTTGGCCACTTTGGTTTTTTTTAGCCATTGGGTTGAATGCCAGGGCCACAGGGAGGTACCTGGGTGGCCTTCAGGTACAGCCTCAGGTAACATGCCCCTGTGCTGGAGGGCTGGGGACTCCCTGGGCTGGATGTGCTGGGGTCTCCAGCTCCATCCTCCAAGCACAAGTCGCGCAAGGTCCAGTCCCCTCCTGACCCACTCTCAACGCCGGTTCCCACGCACACCTGTGTGCTGATCTCCACCTACTCCTTCAGCTTCTAAGGGTCCGCCCCTGGGGCCTCCCTGTTGTCTCAGGCCACCTTCTCTGAGCAGCCCCCGAGCCCACTTCCGCCAGGTCCCAAGCCACACAGCACTAGTATTTGTCATACCCTCAAATCTGCCTCATCCTTCTGCCTCGTTAGACTTAGGGTCTGGGGCTTCTGCCGGATCACAAGTCCTCAGGCTGCGCGCCGCGTGGGTGGTTTTGGGGTGCAGGAAGGGGCGGTGGCCTGGCACTGGGTAGGGGACGAGGGACATCTCATATCCTGAGGGGCTTTGGTCGCTGAGTTCCGGACGTGCCATGGGCCTTGGAGACGCCGAGAGCGCAGCCCGGCGCGCGCCCCTCTGGGCCCCAACTCCTAGTCCTGCAGTGCTCGCTCCTCTACCCGCGACCCCCTCCTCTCGGACCCGGGGCGGAGCGGGGGTGGGGCCTGGTACCATGACGTCACCTCGCCTATAAAAGGGTTGCGACGCGGAGGGGCGGCTTTGTGGAGCGCTGCAGCGGGTGCGCTGGGCCCGCAACGAACAAAGGAGTCAGCGTGCCGGGGACTGCACGCCCGCCGCCACCATGCCCGCCAACGGCACGGCCGAGGCGGTGCAGATCCAGTTCGGCCTCATCAACTGTGGCAACAAGTACCTGACGGCCGAGGCGTTCGGGTTCAAGGTGAACGCGTCGGCCAGCAGCCTGAAGAAAAAGCAGATCTGGACGCTGGAGCAGCCACCCGACGAGGCGGGCAGCGCGGCCGTATGCTTACGAAGCCACCTGGGTCGCTACCTGGCGGCTGACAAGGACGGCAACGTGACCTGTGAGCGCGAGGCGCCAGGCGCCGACTGCCGCTTCCTCATCGTGGCGCACGACGACGGCCGCTGGTCGCTGCAGTCCGAGGTGCACCGGCGCTACTTTGGCGGTACAGAAGACCGCCTGTCGTGCTTCGCGCAGAGCGTATCGCCGGCGGAGAAGTGGAGCGTGCACATCGCCATGCATCCGCAGGTCAACATCTATAGCCTGACCCGCAAGCGCTACGCGCACCTGAGCGCGCGGCCGGCGGACGAGATCGCGGTGGATCGCGACGTGCCCTGGGGCGTCGACTCGCTCATCACGCTCGCCTTTCAGGACCAGCGCTACAGCGTGCAGACGGCTGACCACCGCTTCCTGCGCCACGACGGGCGGCTGGTGGCGCGTCCTGAGCCCGCCACCGGCTACACGCTCGAGTTCCGCTCCGGCAAGGTGGCCTTCCGCGACTGCGATGGCCGCTACCTGGCACCGTCGGGGCCCAGTGGCACACTCAAGGCGGGCAAGGCCACCAAGGTGGGCAAGGACGAGCTCTTCGCGCTGGAGCAGAGCTGCGCCCAGGTCGTGCTGCAGGCGGCCAACGAGAGGAACGTGTCCACGCGCCAGGGTGAGTGGCGGCGCCGCCCGCCTTCTCCCCGCACAAAGCTCCCCCGCCTCTCCTGGCCCGGTTGCCTCCCGCCCTTTCTCTTCCACGGCGCCGCGCCCCGTGCGCCCTAGCAGCCCCTGTTCGCCATCCAGCCCCAGGACGTGCGTCTCGCACCCGAAGGAGGGGGTGAGGGGTGGGGCTCTGTCCATCTTCCAGCGCTGCCGCACTCCCCACCGCCGGCGCTGGAGTGGGGGGGAGGTCCTTAGGCCCCGCGTGCGAGCTGCCTGGTGTGGCACCCCCAGAGTCCCCGTTCAGCCACAGTGTCTTCGCGCGATCCCGGCGCTGGGGAGGGGGCGCCTCCGTCCCCTTTCTCTTCCCCTCCCCCCCGTCGGTGGGCTGGGTCACTCCTCCTCCTCCTGGTTGCCTTTTGCGGGCGGGGCTAGGGGATAGGCCAGCGGAGCCTTTGATCCCGCGGGGGTGGGTGCCTCCAGTCCCTGTACATTCCCACTCCTCCCAATGCCAGGTGGGGTCTACTCTGCGGGGAGGTTGGTGGGATCGCCGCGAGAGGCTGCCCTTCCCCCAGCGCCGGCCCCGCGCTCGGGGCCGCGGCCTTTGTGAGCAGGGGGGCGGGCCGCCTAGCAGGGCCCTCCCTCGCCCCCTTTGTCCTCTCGGGCGCTGCAGATGGGGAAACCAGATGCGCGCGTGGGGGAGGGCACTGGCGCTCTGTGGGGCCCCACGTCGGCTCCAGGACCAGCGCCCGGATCCTGAGCAACCCCCAGGAGATGGCCACCCCCTTCGCGCCTCGGGCCCTGCCGGCGTGGCGCGGATGGCTGCCAGCCAAATACCCCGCCCTACGGCCACGGGTACCTCCCAAGGGGCGCGCTTTGCCCTTCGGGCTAACGCAGGAATGGAGAGACCCTAGTCTAGCGCTCGGGGAAGCTCTCTATCGAGTGAATCTACCCCCAAGGACTCCCGCCGAGAACAATTGACTGCAAACCCGATCGGTCTTCCCCAGGACTCCCACCGGCCTGGCCATTTCCGACCCGCTGCTGCTTGCCAGGAGCGAGCTGAGCGCCCTGCTTTCTCTTAGTTATGACTCTCCCTGCAGGGCGATTTCTCAATTTCTAGGATTCTTCCTTCTTTGAGGTAGCAGCGACCCCCCCTCTCTTTACCCTGCAGTGGCTTTTCAGGGCTCTTGCCTCCCAGAGTTGGAGGTTGGCCCCAGCTGCTGGAGACAACTGGGTGGGTATCTCCTGGGTTCTAGAGTGGGGAGGTCCCCTGGGCAGGCTGCCCCCATCTGGAGACCCCTCCCCCAGGCCTTCATGGCCGTGGGGGTGGAGATGGAGACCTGGGTACGATAATTGGTACTTTTTACCCATTCTAACCCGTTCCGATCCAGATGTGCCATCTTACAGAGGAAAGGTATCTGTAAAGGCCCAGAGAGGGACACCATTAGCCTAGGTTCACACAGATAATAAATATCGTTTGGAACCAAATGAACTTACTTGGACCATGCTGCCTTCCAGGCAAATCACTGAACTTCCTTTGGAACTCAGTCTTTGCTGGGTGAGGTTTTATTCCTGCCCTGTCAGCAAATGTGAGCACTGGCTAAATTGTGGGGCATGTATGATGAACAAATGGGGGTGTGTGCTTGGAGCCTCTACTGGGAGGAAATGTGATAAAAATTCCAGAGGTATCAGGAAAAGATTGCGGTGTCCCAGGTTAGATGGGAGAAGGTGATCCACCTAAGCAGATGTGGAGTTGGGGACAGACGGGTGGCAGAGTAGTATTGCAGGCAGAGGAAACAGGCTGTACAAATGCCCGGAGACTGGTGGAGCCTTGAAAGCCAGCTCCTGCTGGAAAGAGGTGTGTCATGTGGGAAATGGGCCTGGTGGGACCCAGGGCCTCCCTGGGGTAGATGAGGCTCCTGGGGCCACAGAAGGAGCAAAAAGTGCCTGCTGGTGTCCTTGGCAGCCCAGCGACGAGCCTGGACAGGTACTCCCTTTCCAGTTAGTCTTGCAGCATCCTGATTCAGTCTGACCAGGCAGGAGGAGGGACCACTGGGGCCTGGAGACACTATTACTCATCTTTGAGTTTAAAGAGGGGTAGGCCCCGGATAGAGGCTTTGGGATAAGGTTGCCTTGAGTTCTTTTTTTTTTGAAGTCCTCTTCTTGTTACCATGTTTGCTGACCCCTGGGCCTTCTTGGGGTGGGATGGCAATTCAGAAGGACCAGCTCCAGGGAATTTGGAAACCTACGGAGGGCAGGTCTGGGAAGGTCATGTTGGACAGGCCTGTGCTTCATGCAGACGTTAGGAATCGCTGGCCTGGAAGCTGAGGATGTGACTCATCTCAGCCCTCACAGGCTGGATCTAGGGAGCAAGTTGCATCCTGTTCTCAGTTTCTCCATCTGTAAAGTATGGGCTCCTGGTCGCCCCACCTCAAGCTCGAGGCTGGCTTGACCACTAGAATGAGGGTCTGATACCACCTTGACCTGCCCCTGGGTGGGCTCCTCGGGACCCTTCTGCTCTGGTTTTAGGCAGCCCCTGGGCGCTGCCATGCCAGTTTCCTGCTTAGACTCACAGTGTCAGTAGCTTCTCTGACTGGCTACTGTCTCTGACCAGCTGTGCTTCACGTAGCCCACACCCCATCTAAGACCTGGCCTGGAGCCTGGCTCAAGTGCTGTGTTAGATGTTGGCTTGTTGGGGTGCTGGTCAAGCTGGGCTTTGCAGGATGTGTAAGAGCTCTTTGGAAGAGACAGGGACAGGAGGGATTTGACAGGGTCCTGAAAGTGTAGACAACAGAGGAGGGGTGACTAGACTTTGCCAGGTCCCTTCCCTAAGTGGAATAGGCCAGAGTGTATGTGCATATTTTGAATAAACTCAAGGGGATTTGGGGAACCTCTGAGACAGCTTGACTAATCTAAGGCCTGAGGGGAATGGGAAGCCATGGAGGGTATTAGGGGAGGGGAGTGCCCCCTCTGGAAGGCCATTTTGGACAGGCCTGGGAGGCGAGGTCTGAAGGGTGTGGGTGCTGTGCTTGTCACCCTGGTTCCCTTGAGGGAGATGTACCCTTGGGCTCAGTTGAGCAGCCCCCGCTCCTCAGGGCGCCTACGAGCCAGTGACTAAGGTTTTCTATGTCGCTATTGCTGAAAAGAAAAATCCCGAAGAAAACCATGTTCCCATAGAAACGGGGCTCTAATTAGAGACTGCAAGGCCAAATGGGGTTTTTCCCATCTGGGCCCTGCCTTCAAGTCTGGAGAGCTTGTAGGGTAGGAGACAGCTCTTGTCCTTCACCTCTTTCCTGGGTGGCTAGGAAAGGCTGGAGTGTTTGGCACCAAGCCCCTAAACAAAGTGGGGAGAATGAACCCTTTTTACAGGTGGGGAAACTGAGGCAGAGTGAAATGGAGGCACTTGCTGACAGTACCTGATGCTCCTTTTGGTACCTTAGTGGGCCTGCACGGGACTTTTCAGCAAATCAGTTTGAACACGAAATGCAACCAACTGATGATGTTGAGACCCAAGCAGAAGGTGTTACTGACTTCAGCTGAGCCTCAGTTTTTTCTTCTCTAAAAAGGGGTAGCAGCCTTCTGTTATTCATTACTGTTATCGTTGTAAGGATTGAAGTCATGCAAGCACTGGACTGTGAATCACAAGGTCAGCAGTTTGAACCCACCAGCCGCTCCTCAGAAGAAAGATGAGGCTTTCTGCTCCCGAAAAGATTTTGAGAAGCTCTGAGTTGGAACCAACTTAATGGCACTTAACAACAGCAAGTCAAACACTCTCACGTGACACTTGTGTCTTCTTCATTCATCACACTTGATGGCTTGCCTGTTGCTATGGTGCTGGAAGCCATACCACCATAGACAGGCTTCAGCAGAGCTTTCAGGCTCAGACAGACTAGGAAGAAAGACCTCGCAATCTACTTTTGGAAATTAGCCAATGAAGAAACCTGTGGATCACCACAGAACATAGTTGGATATAGTGCTGGTAGATGAGTCCCCTAGTTTGGAAGACCATCACAATACACAGTGGCCGCAACAGTGGACTTGAGCAGACCAACGATCATCAAGATGGTACAGGATTGGACGGCGTTTGTTCCACTGTACTTGGACTTGCCATTCAAGTACAACTAACAGCATGTCAAGTTCCTACTAGTGTTCAGTAACCGTTGTTAATTAGGCTCCATTGAGTCAGTTCTGACTCAAGCCATCCTGTGTTATGTGTTGTAAGCATCAAGTCAGTTCCAACTCATAACGATCCTGTATAGGATTTCAGAGAGTAGCTGATGGGTTTGAACTGCCGATCTTGTAGTTACCAGTCCAGTGCTTATCCTGCAGGGCCACACCAGAGATAAAGTCTCACAGTCCGTGCTTCTAAGGAGCATTCTAGCCATACTTCTCCCGAGATTTGTTCTTCAACACCGTATTTCAGATGCATCAGTTTTTCTTTGGTCTTTTGTACTAATTGCCCAACTTTCTCATGCATATGAGGCAAATGAAAATGCCATGGCTTGGGTCAGGCACACATCTTTGTGTTACGCGGTAACTGTAGGTTTTCCTGAATGTGCTCTCAGGCAGGCTGGTACAAGCCTGGCTTATTGGCAAGGCTGTGTTTGTCATCACAAGTCCTCTGTGAGCCCCAGGGCTGGGCTAGAGATTCAGTCTCTCATTTCTATCCTGTTCTTCCCCCAAATCCAACAGAGCCCAGGAGAGTGACCCCTTTTCCTTCTGTCTGGAAGCTAAGAGCACCCCTGTCTTATCTGCTGCTGGGGAGGAGTGCAGGGGTACCCCTCTTGTCTTTTCCCTTTCATCTGCTGTCACCTGGCCCCTTCCCATGAACTATGTGGTCAATAAGGATTGGGACCACCTAGAGTGGGTTTTCTGGCCAAGAGAGGGAAGGGACTGACCTAGTGCCGGGGTTGGTGGTGGTCCCCTGTAGATGGGGAAGTGCAAGAAGTGGGCTTACCTCACTGGTGGTCTCTAGTGGTTCCTGCAGTAGCGGGGGTGGGGCAGTTGCCTGGTTTATGGAGACCTTGGCTTGGGAGGATGTGGGCAAGGAGACCCCAGCCCTGCTCCTATTCTTGGTGGTGGATCATATGCCCAGTGGGCTCCTTCCCCGAGTGATGGTGGGCTGGCCGGCTCACAAACAGAGTAATCTCAGGTGATCCATGTCTACAAGTGCACAGGTGGAGGGTTGGTGGGGGACGGGATGGTAGGAGGGCAGAGCAATCCCCCTTCCCCCAGAGAACCATAGGAGTCTTTCTTCTGTGTGACCTTGGGCAAGGACGCCCTCTCTCATCTCTCTCTGCCAAGTAAGATGACCATTTGTATCCCTGGGCACTGTGATATGGAGGCTTGAGGTGGGGTCAGGGGGTGGCTGACACCCTCAGGCCTCTGAGTGATGGTTATAGAACAAAGGATGAAGCATCCTCCTGGCTGACCAGCCTCAGTTTTCTCATCCTTATAATCATTTGTGGATCAGACCATTGTGATCCATCGGTGTTTGCTGACTTGATTTTTTAAAGTGGATTGCCAGGCCTTTCTTCTACTGTCTTAGTCTAGAAATTCCACTGAAATTGATGTTCAGCATCAAAGGAACACGCAGCCCCCACTGACAGATGGCTACACATGAGGTGACTTGGCCAGGAACTGAACCTGCATCTCCCACATAGAAGATCAGAGTTCTACCACTAAACCACCGTTGCCTCCATTATAGATTGCATATGTGGGCATGTGCCTACATGTGTGCCTATACATAAACTGCAGATCTCTGTGTGCCTATCAGCGTCGAGATCATATGCACAATTGGGATATTGTACAGGCACATGGTGTGGTAGCAGAAAAGGTCAGAAGGATGTTCCCCAGCTGTGGTTCTCAGAGTGGAGATGGGGATACATGGCGATTCATTTCTTCATCTTTATTCTTTGGGTTTTTTGAATTTTCTGAATGGAACATGTGCTAGCATAGGCTTTGCTCTTAACCCCTACACATACACAGGCGCAGGGAGGGTATACTGAACCCCCATCTATTTACCCTGAGGTTTATTTGGATGTGGGTCCTATTACCTCCTCTCTTCCCTCCCTTCATCTGACGGTTTTGGTTTATTTAAAGCACATCCCTGACATCATCTGCCATGGCATCTCCAAATGCTTCCATATGTCTCTCTAAAAAAACGAGGCCACGATTTCTTACATAACCACCCCTCCATTAGTAACAAAGCCCTAGTATCCAATCCCAGGCCATGTGCGTGTGCCTCCACTGGCTCAGGCTGCTTGAAACATTTTATTATGGTTTAGGTGAAAATTTTCAATACAGGTCTGTTTCCCATTCAACAATTCATACTTAGATTGTTTTGTAACATGGCTTACAGTCCCCTTAATGTGTCACCATTTTCCCATGTCCCCTTCTTGGGATCTCCATTTCTACTCTCTCAGCTTTTTTCCTGCCTTTCTGCTGCTTGCTGAATTTTACTTTGGGGGCAAATGCTATCCTTTTGGTCTGGTGCAGTTGAATGTTCTGAGAAGCATGTTACTACTGTTCACTGCCCATGGGCTATTGTTTAACTGTAGGGTAGTCGCCAGGGTGGGTTCTAAGTTTGAAGGGTGAAGATTGTCTGTTTGCAGTTGGCTTGCTCCAAGATAACACTTCTGTGGTCAGATGAGACTTGCAAAAAGATGTAGTGGCCTTGGGCCTGACCTGGTCCTTCCCATGTTAAGCCCAGTCCTTGGTCTCTGGACGCAAGGCCAAGGGGCCCAGTAGCACATGGAGTCTGCATCTCTGTGTGTTCGTGTGTGGGGTTGGCCAGAATGAGCTTGGGTGTTTTAGGAAAAGAACAGAAATTCCTTGTCTCACGGTTCTGGAGGTGGAAGTTTAAGATCAGGGTGCCGGCCTGAAGCTCTGAGGGAGAATTGGTCCAGGCATTCATCTCTGCCTCCTATATAATCTTCACCTCCGTTATCACATGTTTCCTCTCTGTGTGTCTGCTCTTTTATAAAGACACCGCTCAGTTGAGATCAGGACATCCCACCCCACCCCCCAGACCTCATGTTAATGGACAACATCTTTGAAGACCCTGTTTCCAGGTTCTGGGATTAGGTCTTGAACTTAGCTTTTTGAAGGGCCTAGTTCAGCCCTCAGGGTGGGCACGGGAACCCTCGTACTACCTCAAGTCTCTCCCCCCAGGTATGGATCTATCAGCCAATCAGGATGAAGAGACCGACCAGGAGACTTTTCAGCTGGAAATTGATCGAGACACCAAAAAGTGCGCCTTCCGCACCCACACGGGCAAGTACTGGACACTGACAGCAACCGGAGGTGTGCAGTCCACTGCCTCTACCAAGTGAGTGTCCCCCGACCTCCACAGCATCCCCGTTTCCCTGGCTGGTTTGTTCTGCTCAGGGACGACCCCCTGACACTATCTCTGCCACCCCCAGGAATGCCAGCTGCTACTTTGACATCGAGTGGCGTGATCGGCGTATCACCCTGCGTGCGTCCAATGGTAAATTCGTGACGGCCAAGAAGAACGGGCAGCTGTCGGCCTCAGTGGAGACAGCAGGTACACTGCTACACTGGGGGGTCTGAGCACATCTGGGGTCTGCTGTCCCAGGGGTCCCCTGGTCATCCCTACCTCCTGCTTCGAGGCTCACTGTCCTCTTCCACCCCTCTTGGAACAGGGGATGCTGAGCTCTTCCTCATGAAGCTCATCAACCGGCCCATCATTGTGCTCCGGGGGGAACATGGGTTCATCGGCTGCCGCAAGGTCACTGGGACACTGGACGCCAACCGCTCCAGCTATGACGTTTTCCAGCTCGAGTTCAACGACGGTGCCTACAACATCCAAGGTAGGTCTTCCCGGGCACTGCTGGGTGGGGGCTGTCCTGGCCAACCCGGGAAAGAGAGGGTGGGAGGCTAGCAGGAGGTGGAAGGGGAGACTGAGGTCCTGGAAAGAGGGGTGTGAGTACACATGGACATATCTGAGGAGGGGGACGAGTCTGAGGTCTGGCTTTGGATCCAGTGCATGTGCAAAAGACCTCAATTCCATTCCAGAAGCCACGATGGGAGGGAGGGGGAGGGGGGCAGGGAGGATGGCCTGACGTGCCTCTCTCTCCCCAGACTCCACGGGCAAGTACTGGATGGTGGGCAGTGACTCCTCGGTCACCAGCAGCAGTGACACCCCTGTGGACTTCTTCTTCGAGTTCTGTGACTACAACAAGGTGGCCATCAAGGTGGGCGGGCGATACCTGAAGGGGGATCATGCGGGTGTCCTGAAGGCGTCGGCTGAGACCATCGACCCAACCACGCTCTGGGAGTACTAGGTGCCACCCTGTCCCCGCCCCACAACCCAGTGCCCTGCGACTCCAAGGGCTCCCCTGCTCCTGACCCCCGCTAACTCTCTTCTCTAGGTGGGCTCCATGCGGGTGTCGAGCCCCTTGCCTTTCAAACTGGAAACCCCAGAAAAAAATGGTGCCCCCAACTGTCACCCCTGTGGCCCTCCTGGGCGGGTGAGTGGATGTGCCCAGTTACCGTAGGGAGCGTGGTGGGCCATGGGGTCCTCCTCTTCTCTGCTGCGGGCGAGGCTGGCACCTCTTCCTTCTGACCTCAGACAACTCTGAGCCTTATTTCCCCAAAGTGGCCAAGAGAAATGGGGGCTGGGAGGCTCCGAGTCTTTGGGCATGGTGGAATCTTCCGCCCCACTCCTGGACCCTCTCCCACTGTGCCCCACCCAAAGCTGCTGGGGGCCCCTCTGGGTGTTGTCCTGAGCTGAGCCCCTTTGCACAGAGGGGCCAGCTCTACCGCTGCTTGTCTGCTGTGGTTGGGGCTCGCCACTCTGCCTTTGGATCTAATCATTTTTTTTCACCCTGGCCTGACTGGAAGCAGAAAATGACCAAATCAGTATTTTTTTCTTAAAAATGAAGTTTGTTGCTGGAGGCGCCCTTGGCAAGCATGATTCGTTACCAAGGGGTCTCTGGATGGCTGGTGGTGGACAGGCGGGTACCCCAAGTCCAGAGACTCTGCCTCCACTTCTCCAGGGGCCTCTCTTCTGGGCCTTTCCCACCCCCCTGGGCATGGCTGGTCTGCAGCCTCAGCCCCATGGCAGGATCGGTGCTCCACATGTATGACTGGAATCTTCTGGAATCCTGGGGTCTCTGGGGCCCATGGAGCCAGTGCTGCTCTCTAAGGGGGTGAGCTGCCTGGGCCCCCTGGCTCCCACCCCACCTCGCTGCCCGTGCCAGCCCCTCCCACCGCTGTTTGTCTGCCCTGCATCTCACTCTGGGTGTCTTGGTCTTTTATTTTTTGTGTCATTTGTATAACCCTCATTGCCCATGATAGTAGCGTCAAACTGGAAAGAATCAAAATAAAGGAATAAGAGTCCACTGTGCTGTGGCCCACTGTGTGTGTCTTGGGGGGGAGGGGGGGTGGCGGCGGTGCAGGCAGGTAGGCAGGCAAAGTTGGCCTGCAGGAGGCCTGGCCATAGCAGAGGTGGTTGTGTTCCAAAAGTCTACCAGGAGCCAGGGGTGGATGTAGTGGGGAGATGGCTGAACCTGAGGTTCCCACTGAGCTGTCCCAGTGTTAGTGTAGTCTGAGCAGGCATCTGCCTGAGGTGAGTCCCTTGTACCTCGTGCCTCAGTAGTTAGAATTTAGAGCTTACAGATCACGTGAACAGATGCAGATGGAGAGGAGGTACGTTTGGCCTCAACAACTGCACCTTCACATGGAGTGCCCCTCACCTCTCCTGTGTTAACAAGTGGCCTTGTGCACTGTCCCAGAGCTCCCAAGTCTTCCACGCCCCCACCATCAGCGTGATTGGCAACCACAGGCTGCTGGTGTACCCAGGGATGGGATGGAGTGGCCTTGGAGGGGACAGACCCTGGGAGGAACTGGAACCAGACGGCCTCAAGCTAGAAGCCAGGCCAGTGCCTCCAACAAATCCAGGCCTCTAGACCCAGGTCTGGAAGGGAGAGGAAGACAGTGAGGAAATTTCTAGATAATGTGCAGCCAGCAGGGACTCCTGGGTAAGGCGTCCTGGTGGTGCAGTTGTTAAACCCTTGCCTGTTAATTGAAATGTTGGTGGTTGCAGCCCACCAGCTGCTCTGTGAGAGAAAGATGAGGCAGTCAGCTTCAGTAAAGATTGTTATGAAGTAACATGGAGTCGGTTCTGACTCACAGTGACCCTGTATAGGGTTTCTGAGGCTTTAAATCTTTAAGGGAACAGGAAGCCTTTCCCTGCATAGCAACTGGCAGGCTGGACCCACTGACCTTGTGGCTCGCTGCCCAGTGCCTAACATACGGAGCCACTGTGCTTCCATCAGTAAAGATTTGTTAAGTGCCGTCAAGTCGGTTCCGACCCATGGCGACCCTGTACAGGGTTTCCAAGGCTGTAAATCTTTATGGGAGCAGAATACCTCATCTTTCTCTCGAGGAGCAGCTGGTAGTTTCGAACTGCTGGCCTTAAGGTTCGCAGTCCGCTTTGTAACCACTACACTACCAGAGCTCCTTCAGTAAAGATTACGACCTCGGAAACACTTAACGACATTTCTACTCTTCTGCAGGGTTGCTATGAGTTGCCATCACATGATGGTTCACAAAAACATTGCCCCTGCCCATTTTACAGAGCAGGAAATGCCTTCACGGAAGCTACACCCAGGCCAAATGATCCCAATCCCGGCCAGCCCTGCCGCCTTCCCACTTAGCTCTGTTCTGATTGGCGGATGATGACGAAGCTGGGAAGTTGACCTGTGATTGGTGGTCCCAGACAGATAGTCATCCTAGACAATCTTCCAGGCTATGGGGTGGGGACCCCCCTGAAGAACACCCCACTCCCCCTGATGTGCCCACAAGGCCTCAACCATGCCCATGGGGTATGCCCATGGGGTGTTCAGTCATGAGCTGATTTGGAATTTCATTAACTCCCCAAAAATGCTGCTGAGCTCTGGGTGCCTACCACTTGTCTGAGAGGCCCATTGTTGTGGGGGAGACACTCCAAACAGCAGCCTTTTATGAGCTGGAGGAGGACCTGGTCAAGTTGAGTGCAAGAAAGTGTATCCAGGTGGAGAGAACAGGGAGGCAAAGGAATGGCAGGTGGGGGTGGGGGGATGGCCAGTAAGGCGGAAGGATCTGAGGAAGAAGGTGGATTGTTTCCTGGTCCATGTGGAAACACTGAAGCATTTTGGGTAAGAGTGTGGACTGTCCCATGAGCACAGGGACCCCAAGACTCAGGCTCACCATTTCCTGGCCTTGCCTGACCTCATGCCACACACAAATACACATGTACACAAGACATACAGAGAGGCAAACACATACAGGTGTGTGATACACCTGCTTACAGGCATGTATACATGAGAACACAGACATGTTCACACATAGACACAGGTGCCCACAGACGTGATCACATGGACACACAGACAAGGTCACAGATAGCCACGTATACACAGACATGCACACACACAGCCAGTGACCAGGAATAAGGCCTTAGCACGTACATTTACTTTGTTCCAACCTGTTGTTGCTGAGTGTCATTGAGTCGGCTCTGACTCAGCGCAATCCTATGCACAACAGAACAAAACACTGTCCAGACTTGGGCCGTTCTCACAGTTGTTGTGGTTGGGCCCATTGCTGATGCCTCTGTGCTGATCCATCTCATTGGGGTCTTCCTCTTTTTCACCAGCCCTCTACCAAGCATGGTGTCCTTATCTAGGGATGGGTCCCTCCTGATTATATGTCCAAAGTATAAGAAATGAAGTCTCGCCATCCTGGCTTCTAAGCATTCTGACTGTACTTCCACCACAGACTTATTTGTTCTTATGAAAGTCCACTATGTTTTTAATATTCTTCGCCAACACCATAATTGAAAAGCACCGATTCTTTTATTCTATGTTCTTCCTTATTCATTGTCAATTTTCACATGCATATAAGGTGATTGAAAATACTACGTCTTGAGTCAGGTAAACCTCAAACTAGTATCTTTTACTCTTTAACACTTTAAAGAGGCAGCAGATTTGCCTAATGCAATATGTCATTTGATTTATTGACTGCTCCTTCCATTAGTGTTGATGTGGATGCAAGCAAAAGGAAGTTTTTGACAACTTCAATCTTTTCTCCATTTATCATGATTTTATTTATTGACCCAGTTGTGAGGATTTTTGCTTTCTTTACATTGAGGTGCAATCCATACTGTTCTGATCTTCATCAGTTTCAGAGAATTTGATTATGATGTCTTGGTGATTTTTTGGGGGGATTCTGTTTGGCGTTTGCTCAGCTTCTTGAATCTAATCTTTCATAATGTTAGGGAACTTTTCTTCCAGCAACTCTTTGACGATTTTCTCTGTGTGTTTTATTGCTTCTTCCTGTTCTGGAATCCCAATCACCCATAAATTATTCCTCTTCATGGGATTTCACATAAGTCTCAGGCTTGCTCTTGATTTTTATTCATTCTTTTTTCAGATAGTTCTAGCTTACTAGTATTGAGAAATTTATCTTCAAGATCACTAATTTGAGGTTTCCACTGATTCAGATTTTCTCCTTTGTCCTTTCAGTGTATACTCCATTTATGAAATCTTAGTATTAATTTTCTGGATTCCTATGACCAGGTTTTGTGTTATTTCAAAAGTTGCATGCAGTTTGTCTGTTTATTCTTGTAGTGTTTTCCTAAATTCTTTTAATGTTTTTTCTGTGTTCTCCTTGCTTTACTTGATTTTTTTTTTTTTGTCATTCTGTTGAAAGTACCTAAATATCATTCTTTTGAATTCTTTCTCAGGTAGTTCCATGATCTTTTCTCCTTCAGAAACTGGTTCTGGCTCTGCATCTTGGCCATGTGTTGGAGAGACTCTTGTTTCTTTGTGTGAGCTAAAATCTTCTGTAGTCTCCTAGACATTGTGGTGTTGTATTTGTATTAAATTAGTGGTTATCTGTTGGAATGTTCTTAGGCTCTCAACAACTGTGTCTTGGTGGATGTGATTAGAGAATGGAAACTTGTGCACCATTTTCCATTTGTGCAGATCAGTTTAGGGCGGGTTTGGATGGTATTGTCTGATGACTGTAGAGGGTAGGGTTGTGGCTGAGTTGTATGGGCACAGTTGCTGTCTCCTATCAGGTGGGGCAAGAGGAGAAAACACACACAGGAAAACAAAATAGAACAAACAAGCAAACAACAGTGAAGAAGGAACCTAATAGAGGAGAAAAAAATAGGCAGCAATAAGGACAAAAGAATGTAATAACTAAAAAGAGAAAAGAGGGACAGGAAGATAGAACTGTATGAGAAAAATAAAAGGGACAGGAACATAGAACTGTATGAGAAAAATTAGAGGAAGATGAAAAG